AAACCATTTGGCAACAGCATTTGGAGCCTTTCTTAAAGTGAATCTCCTACATTTCACCTGAATAGCTGAGAAAAGAGACTGTGTTTGTACTTTTGGAAATGAAGTAAAACCAGTGAAAGGACAGAGAAGATAGTAAGGGGCTAAATCGTAGGGTTTTGTGTCTTTATGTATCCATATAGCATAGAATAATAAGACAATTTTATGATTTCATTTGAAAAGAAATTCAAATAATATCTTTTCACTTAATACAATTTGGATAATTATTTTTTCAAGGCAAAATGGCTTTTAAAAAGCAAAGGAAGTACCTTGTGATAGAGTTAATGTAGGCTGAGAACAATGATTCATTCGCCAGTCATGAAGGTGGAAAGGGTCCCTGGGAAGACCATTTGGGTTGTATTCAGCAAGAGAAAAATTTACAAATGTGCTACATTTCAGAAAGTATACTCTATCCCTGCAACCAACCATGCTAGTGGGTTTTATATAAGACCCTCATCTTAGGGGATTTTTTAGTAGATGGATGAATAATACATTGTAGCTACGTGAAAGCATGGCCAGAGTAACCGTAGGACACTCAGTACATAAATTGTCCTTTTTTCCCACTCAAACTGTTTATTATAATTTCCTGAGTTGACTAGAAAATGTTTTGATACAACACACTAAGTGATTACTATGCACTAGTGTTTTTAATAGTATAGACAACTGTGTAGTATGTAATTGTACTTAAATGCTCTTGTAAATTATATTTGTTATAATTGGTTCCTTTGAGACTTTCAGCATAATTATCTTTGTTTTTAATATCAAACTTTGCTGAAGACACATGGAAGAATTATATTTGAAATTCACTGCTTTGATTATGTACAAATTTTTATATTAAGTCACTGGGGACAGATTTTTGGCAGATTCCTATTATTTTCAAGAATACTTCAAATATCCATTTTTATATTAAGAGAATTGTGGAATGTAATTATGTGGCATAGCATCTGACGAGAAGTAAGGCTTCTGAGACTGTACAGTATTTGGCTCTCTTTTTTTTTTTTTTTTAACAAATTATGTTATTAGTCTAAGATTTAGAGTACATCAAGCTAAGAACCAGTGTGGATTATATTTTAGTGATAAGATGGTTTTGTCTCTCTCTCTCTCTCTCTGCATGTGTACCAGGTGTACAGGGTGGAAAGGCCTTGGTGAAGAACTGATCTTTTCACTTATACATACACACAGATAGAGACCATTATCATCTTTGAATATGCACAATAGCACATTTATGGATCTAGGGGAATGATCCAATAGAGTGGGAGAGGTTGAAGAGCAAAGAGATGCTGATTTTATGGAACAGGTCAGGAAGACCTGGTGGTGTAGTGGTTAAGTGCTATAGCTGCTAACCAAAAGGTTGGCAGTTTGAATCCTCCAGGCACTCCTTGGATACTCTATGGGGCAGTTCTACTCTGTCCTATAGGGTTGCTGTGAGTTGGAATTGACTAGACAGCAATGGGTTTTTTGGGTTTGGCCAGGAAGTGGTGAGAAAGGCTAGGAGGAAAAAGGGAGGAAGGTCGGAGGGAACATAGGCCTTACCCTGAGATTCTGGTATTTCTTAGAGGTTGGAGGCAGGGGTATAGGAAAAAGAACAATCCTCCCTGCCAGAATAAACTGAGATTGAGAGGAGAGGTGAAGGGATTGATCCTGGATAGGAGAGACATCATGAAAATGTTGTCTTTCTTTCGTTCATTCATTCATCTATCCATCCATTCATAGAACCAATCAGTAAACTAAAAAGAAAACAGTTATCTACCCTTATAACTAAAATAGTAAAAATAGAAACTAAAATAAACACAATACTTTGTATGACTTTGTGATTTTAGTTTCCGTGGGTAATATAGGGAATATCAAGACATTTTCTAGAAGCAGATTTTGTGGGTTCTCTTAACCTGCAAATGTAGGAAACTGTAAGAAAAGAGGTAAGAGTTAAGTGGGAAGGTTTTCATATTGATAGCCTAATGTCTTTCTGTGGACTGTAAGTTTAAGTTTTTCTAATATGGGCTCACTTATATATAGGAGAGACATATGTTTCTTTATTTTTTGATGATTATATTATTATTTTTGTTCTTTTCTTGGCTATCTTTATAACCTCTAATAATAAACCTCTCTTTGTTTTGTTTCAGCAACTCCAGCCACTGTCTGTCTCAGTGGCGTTAATAGGGTTGGTGTCACTCAGTGCGGTAACTCATGGTGTCACCCCCTAGCCCCCATGGACCTCTTCCTGTATCAGACAATACAGAATCCTTAGTAATGTTTTTTGTACTAATGTTACTCATAAAACGTAATTCTCATATATCACACCTTCTTTTCCTTTAATTACTAGTTCATTCTCAAAGAAGTTATTGATGTAGGTTCACAAATAATAATCACCACAATATTGTAGCTAAAACTCCAGAAAATTTGACAAAATCAGTGACTGTAAAAACACTGGCAGCAAAGAAAACAATAGCACATGCTTGTAGCAGGTGCTGATGAAACCACATGATTCGAAGTGTCATTGTAATTGGGTAATAATGAGAGCTCTGACCAGAGCGCATTAAAAAAACAAAAAAACCAAACTCGTTGCTGTTGAGTTGATTTAGAAGGTTCAAAAAGTAAATGAGCATAGGGTTTTAGCCTTGTAGGTGTATTAATACATGTAATCTGGGCTTATGAAAAATATTTTTGTTATTATAACTGCAGGAATATTTTTATAAAAAATAATAAATTTCTACTGAAGCACTGCACAAAAGTTTTATAGACAGTGATTTTAGTGTCACCCCTCTGACGGTGTCACCCTGTGTGGTCTGTACCCCCTGTATCCCCTAGTGATGCTACTGCTCTCTCTCTCTCTCTTTTTTTTTTTTTTGGTAACTGGCATATAACTGTATTTGCTTTTGACCTAATCTGAGAGTCTCTGTCTTTTAATAGGGGAATTAAACTTATTCACATTTATTGTGATTGCTTATACCAAAACCAAAAACCAAACCCATTGCCATCGAATCAATTCTAACTCAGCAACCCTGTAAGGACAGAGTAGAACTGCCCCGTAGGGTTTCCAGGATGTAAATCTTTACAGGAGTGGATTGCCACATTTTTCTCCCACAGAGTGGCTGGTGGGTTCGAACCGCTGACTTTTCAATTAGCAGCCGAGGGCTTAACCATTGCACAACCAGGCCTCTTTGTGATTGCTTATAGACTAATTCCTGCCATCTCATTATATATCTCAATATACATCTCAATCTCTTTCTGTCTCTCCATTCCCCTCCATTCCCTCCTTCCCCCATTGTCTGGTAACTACTAATTTTTTGTATCAGTAGATTTATCTATTTTAGATATTTCATATAAGTGGGATGATACAATACTTATCCTTTTGTGTTCTGGCTTATTTTACTTAGCATAATGTTTTCAAGGTTCATCCATGTGGTGACGTGTTTCAGAACTTCATCTCTCTGTATAGCTGAACAATATTCCATTGTACGTATATACCATATTTTGTTTATCCATTAATCTGTTGATGGACATGTGGGTTGCTTCCACCTTTTAACTATTGTGAATAATGTGGCAATGAACACTTGTGTACACGAGTCTATTAGAGTCATTACTTTCAATTCTTTCAGTTATATGTCTAGGAGTGGGATTGCTGGGTCACATGGGATTTCTATGTTTAACTTTTTTAGGAACTGCCAAGTTATTTTCCACAATGGCTGCACCATTTAACATTCCCACCAGCAATGTATGAGTATTCCGTTTTTTCCAAATTCTGTCCAACACTGTTACAACACTAGCAACAAGTGTTGGACATATGTTTCTTACTATTTACCTCTGTGAGTCTTCAATAAATGTTTGCTTGTTGATTACTGACTGTGAACAGGTTAATACAAATTTGTGGGCCTAGTGATTTGGGAAATAGTCTTCATGACTGATGCGCTAATCTGAATAGGTTATGATTTACCACGTATAGTCATTTGGTAGTCATATGCAAATGTGACTGAATTGGTCTTAATGCCTTAAAAAAAGCTTGTAATTCTTTTTTTTTTTTTTTTTGACTTGCCCCAATACCAGTGCCTTAGCAGAGGTTTCTCCACTCTTTTTGAGATAACTATGCAGATTTATAGTGGTTTAACAATGGGCTCAAACATACTAACGATCATGAAGATGGCACAGGACTTTTCAGTGATTTGTTCTGTTATACATTGGGTCGCCTTGGATAACAACTGACAACAACATGCAAATTTATATTAATTTCTTTCTGTACAAGACAGTAAATTGCCCCTAACTCACTTCTTTAATCAAAACCTTTGAATAAACAATCCCCAAAGGAAGTAGAGACACATCCCATGTCTTTCAAAGTCCTACCTGGTTCCTCATTGGAGCTAGCATTGATGAAAGCCAGCAAAATATAATGGGCATGGGCTGCCTCAGTGCCATGAGTTCATGAAAGTCAGAGGTTCTGCATGCCTTAAGATGTGTCTCACTAACTCACCATTCATTTTCACTTAAGACCCCTGATCAGATGCAAACTCACCAGGGATGGGTTACTAGTTTAGTAATGAACATATTAAAAAACAAAAAACAAAACAAAAAAAACCCATTGTTGCGTTGATTCCAACTCATACTGACCCTATAGGACAGAGTAGACCTGCCCCATAGGGTTTCTCAGGAGCACCTGGTAGATTCAAACTGCCTACCTTTTGGTTAGCACGCAGATGCTTAACCACTGCGCCACTAGGGCTTCATGAACATATTAGCATAGATTAATTTGTTGGATGACCTAGGTCCCGATAGCATGACCTCAGGGAACACTTGGGGGAAACTTTCTTCTTCCCAGTGGTGGACTTGGCACTCTGGTCCTCTGAGGCTGCCCGTGATATCAGGAGGAGGTGCCAAATACAGATCTCACCTACTGCTTGTTTATCTGGAGTGCTGTTTTTAGAAAGCATTGTTCTTTGCTAACAAGTGTCTTTTTGTTTTTTGTGCACAGCCAGTATGTCCACTGAAACACCAGTCACACTGAATATTGATCCTCAGGAACTGCAGGTCCAAACATTCACTGTTGAGAAGCTACTGGAGCCTCTTATAATCCAGGTATTAATGCCACGGCAATTGCAGCGTGCAGTTAACTGCAAGAGAACTTAAAAAAAGGGGGAAAAATAGAAAATGGACAAGGGAAAGATTTGATTTCTGTACATGAATATGTCACCCAAAATTGTCCTTGATTAGAATATTGTTTAAATATAACAAGTATACATGTAGTAGTAGTAGTAATAATAAAACTCTGAAAGTTTTACCCCCAGATTCTCTCTTATCAGCAACAACAGTAGTAATAATGTAAACATATAGTTTTCAAAATACCTTTATATAGATTATCTTATTTGATAGTCATGAAAGCTGAGTGAGGCAGGCAGCATGGTTAAAACCATCCTTATTAAATAGATGAGAAAATTGAGGCCCAGAGAGATTCAGTGACTTGCCACAAGGCATATGGTGGCTCATTTGCCAAACAGGAAATTGTCTTTAAAAAATATAAAAATGTATGAGAAAAGCAGCTCTTTAAAGAAGTTCTGCGATGGTCTTTCATAAAATGAACTATCCTTTGGTAATGTGCATAATGATTCTCTTATTTATTATGAAAATCTAGATTTTATATATTGGATTTTCTTAAAGCAGAATTTGTAGAAACTTATACAACGGCATAGATTTAAAGTTTTTGTCCTTATCCCAAAATTTGTGAAGGAATTCCTCTTTAGGCCTAACCTACATTAAAATAAAACTCCGTTTTTCTAAGCCCACGAGGCATTCAAGGGTTACTTGGGTGAGATGTGACACCACTGTTATTTCTGATAATTTTAAACTGTTCTGCTATTTTCTCATGGGGTGGATGTTGGGGAGGTGGGTTGCTCTGAGACTTTGTTCAGGTTTTTACTTAGCACAAGTTTGTGTTTACTACTGGAAAGACAATTCAAAACATGTGCCTCACTGATAATAGCTTAATCATTAACTTCGGCCGTCTTAACAGTACTGATGTCTGCTATGAAACTGATACTAGATGATATGGAGACTCCATAAAGTCCCTGTCTCAGTCACCCACTGAATGGGCTCATGTTAAAAGGAAACCAAAAAACTTACTTATTGTTTTTTGATAATTAAAGTTCACTGAGAAAATTAGAAAAGACAAAACAAAAACAGACAAACAAGAAAAGAGAATAAAAAAAATTCATAATTTTACCACCCAGAGAGAACATTAGTATTTTTATGCATTTATTTCTAGTACAATAAAATTGTGGGTAATTTTATTACCTTCTTGGTACTTTTTAATATTAAAAAATACATATACACACACATATATAAACAAGATTGAGATAGTGCAATATATGTAGGTTTTATCCCATTTTTCCATTTAAAATGATATTGTAATAATTTCCTCTTTCTTTGTAAACATGATTTAATAAAATTGCTACTCGATTATTCATCATATGGCTACACTGTAATTGATTTAACTAGCCTCTCATTTTGGACATTTAGATTGTTTCTGTTTTTTACTATTATAAGTAAGTACTGAATGTCTTTGTATATGGATTTTTGTCACCAATTCAGATGATTTCCATAGGATTGGTAACTTAAAGTAGGTGATGAGAAAAGAGAATTTTTATGCTTGTTCATACATATGACCAAGTTTTTTGGGAAAGTTTTAAATAGTTCTCACAACTCATTTAAGGTTTTGTTCCTATGCAATTACAGGGTGTGGGGGTGGGGGAAATGACCTTCATTTTGGAGATGGCTGGGAAAGACAAGCACATTAATGCCACTGCATAAGCCTTATTTGTTCCATAACAACCGAACATTAGAGTTGGTCACTTAGGAGTTGCTAATCACAAAAGCTGCTGATATATTGCTTGTGAACAGAGAAAATAGGATTATGGAGAAACTACTTACTGTTCATATTCTAACTGAAACCAATAAATGTATTGCTTTAGTCAATGTATTGCTGTAGCAGTCAGTAGAAGGTATTCTGGGTGAATTCACATTCAATAGTATGCTGTTCACAGTGTGTGTGTTTTCTGGCATGATCTAGAACTGTTATAACTATAAACGTTTATTGAGTCTACCTAAAAACTTAAAAGGGTGGAAATGATCTGAAGCAATTTTATTTGATTGCAAAGAAATGTAACTCACTCTTAGTGTGATTATGCCTAGAGGGCTTTTGATGTGGTACCTGGATTCAGACTTTTCATGTCCAGTACGTAAGTGAGTCAGGGAAAGGGAGATCACTACCTATTGTGGGCCCTTTACTCATACACATTTTCTCAGGAAAAGGAGGTGATATGTGAGTGTAATTGCTAATTTTATCTTCCTTAAGAGTGTTATCAGCATTTTTGAATATGTTTATTAATTTTTTTAAAAAGCAATTTGGTATACTACTTTACCAATATCCAACTACTAAAAAAAAAAAACAAACTAGGTTTAGCAACATTTAAATCAAATTAAATAAAAAAATTAATAATTTATAGAATATCTACTAGATGTACAGAACCATCTCATAAAGCAAAATTCTGGTACAACAAAAGTATTTGGACACACTCTTGGTTTTCATTACAACGGAATTCTCCTTATTGAAAACCAGCATATTCCAAAATCAGTTATTAATTTAAAATAATGGACGTTTTTACATTTGATGTTCAACCTTCTTGTATCTGTACTTTGATTATATGTCACCTATCAGCACAAATAAAAGATTCCATTAAATTATATCGAAGGTAGTTTTCCTAGGATAGCATCGTGCTAAATGTCTCATCACATTGTTTTAGTTTTTCCAAAAGTGTTCAATTTGAATTATCCTAGTTACATGGTTTATTTTAAGTATATATGAGAGTCTCCAATTATCTGGAAAACATTCCAAAAGAAGCTCATCATCTTTAAGTTCATACTGCTATCCTATAAAGTTATCAATTCAGTAGCTCTGTTAAAAAAAATTCTCACCTTTCCTCATTATTTATCTTGTTATATTCCTTTGCATTCAAGATTCCACAGAAATTATTTACCACCTCTGTATATAACTCAAAGTCAAAATTACATTTTTAATTTTTGGAATAATTGGTCCTAGATACTATTATGTCAGTCTGACTTGAAAATTTATTTCTTCATAAATCGTTATTCCGCTCTTTTTATAGTTACCAGAGTCTTCCCCACAAACCCTGATTTATCTCTAGTCTATTTTTTTTTCTCTTGGGCACAGGTAAATCACTAGGTCATTTTGCAGGGATGTTCAGCCTGGGATATATTTCAATTATTCGCTTTCATTTTCTCTGTGTGATAACTTCCACTGTTGCATCCTTCTGTAATAAATTCCTCTAATGGATCAGAAATAATTTTTTTCTCAGCAATTACATTTTTATGATTGTAACTGTAGGCATCTACACTTTATCACTTTCAAGATCCATGCTTGGCAATGCAGGGCAGCAAGTCTGTTTATGCAAAATGGCGCTTAAAAATTTTTACATCTCTATGTTGTGTAACTCTCTGAAGGAATATAAACTGCTAGATCATGCTATAGTCATTACTTAATGGGACCATCTATAATCTTATTTGCCACAGAATATAATTTGCTATGCATCGGATTCGTGTTAGATGTGAACTAAAGGAATTTACTTACTCAAGACCACTTAAAAAAGCAAATTCCTTATAATGTGTTATCTCCTATAGAGTTGTTTTTTGGGCAAAAGTTCAAATATATTTTCTGATGTAACTATATAGAAATGTTTTCAAGAGGTAAATGTAGAGTAAGATCAACAGTAGTAAGCATTAGGTTCTCACCCCTAACTCGTGTAGGATCTCTTGGCCCTTTTCCCATTTCTATCTCCATAGCGTCTCTCATCTATTTCTGGAAGTCTCCCTAGGGGTGGCTCTTACATAATCTATGATACTCATTGGGCCACGGTTAAGAATATCTGCCAACCCCTGTATCAGTCAGTATAAATTAGGTTATGCTGTGATGTGAAGACAACCCCCAAATCTCAGAGACTTAACAAAAGTTCATATCCTGCTCAAAGCTGCATGTCCATTGTGATGGCAGGGGCTCTCTGCTCAGTATAGCCACTCAGGGACCCAGGCTAATGTGGGCTTCATCTCAACATGTGCTTCCATGATCATCACAGCAGGAGAAACGGAACTTGCCATGTCATGCAAGCGCTCCTGCTGTGTCTACCTGGAAGTGACTAATGTCTGTTCCACTCAATATTTCTTTTGCCAAAGCAAGTCATGTGGTCCATGTGAATGCTGGATATATGATCCTGCCCTGTGCCCAGAAGGAGAACGGGGATATTTGCAAACAGCCCCATTGGCTACTACTTTGTGTGGCTTCTTTTTCAGGGGTTTCTTTTGTTAAGTCTCCATCTGCTATGAAGTCACCTTGGCACCCTAGTCACAGCTGAGTTTATCAGGGTGGGCAGGTGACTTATGGACACTCAACTTATAGGCTGTCTGTTGATCTGCATGCGTGCTGCCTCTGGGGGATGATCATGAATTGTTCTTATCATCATCCTCTCGTTGGGGAGTTGAATATATATTGAGAGTTAAGCAGTTAATACTTAGGGTTAAGCAGTTATATCAGGAGCAAAGCTTACAGATATGCAGAAAGTGGAGACATGAGAAGATTTGAATCATAGTGATAGTGGAGCCGTTTTTGAGTTTGGATCCACAGATTCTTGCTGTTCAAGGATAATAAGATTACCTAGTCACCAGGTGGCGCAATGGTTAAAGCGATTGACTGCTAATTAAAAGGTCAGTGGTTCAAAACCCACCAGCAGCCCCTCGGGAGAAAGATATGGCAGTCTGCTTCCTTAGAGGTTTACAGCCTTGGAAACCATAGGGAGTTGCTATGAGTCAGAACTGACTCGACAACAGTGGTTTTTTTTGGTTTTAGTCACCAGGATTGTAATGGATCCTTTCAGTTTCAAAGCCACATTCTAGCCTCAAAATTATACTCTAGCACCAGTGGGGCTGCACTGTTTCTAGTTCCCTTGAGCACTGGCTATATGCAAGCCAGTTGCTTGTTTTATGTAATCTGATTCCCTGGCCTCCTACCTATT